TATTTACTGGCTCCATGTTTAGTGAACTGAAACTCATTTTAAAACTGACCAATTATTCCCTGAGGATTTCAGTCTTCCAAGTTATAAGGCAGATTTATTTTACTTTAGTTTAGTTTACTTTGTTAATTTGCTGATTTCCTAGGCTAGATTTTATTTTAAAAAGTTGTCTCTAATAATCACAGAAAGATACAAAATAAAGTCCAACCATGAAAAGACCACTGTTTAGGGAGAGTTGATGTTTAGGAAGACTAACATATGGATTTTAAGGGACAGCTAAAGCACATCAGAATGGGATTGCTTATATAGAAGACATGCTATTCTACAAAAGAGAAGTTCCACTGCAAGAAGGCTACTTTTTTGTCACTGCCAAATGACAATCTATAGATTATAGCACAGAGAGCAATACTTCCTTGAAGAACATAGGTGATCAGGAGGCTAATGTAGCTGAAGGCATTCTTTAGGATATGGTTCTGAATGGTTAATACCTCTCTTGGATGAGTAATTCCCAGCTTTAAAGATTAAATAATTACCTACCCTGGAATATATTGCATTACCTGTGAAGGAACAGGAAACTTGGAAATATATCACTGAATCTTTCATTATTATTAGAGGGCAACTGTGGTCCTAATAGAAAATCTAAAACGTTGGAGAATAGTTTCATTTCATGTGAATAGTATGCATTAAAAATAGATAAAATGTATATAATGAATGTTTCTTTAATTTGTCTTTGTCATAGAGGCAGAATTTTATTTATGTCCTTCCCCAAATCCTGGCATATAATAGTAACATAACAATGTTTAATAAAATGTTTGGTTTTGTTATTACAATTCTGAGAATTCTTAAGAGGCAACTTGCATTTGGATGCTAGAAATAAAATATCAAATCAATCATGTTGAAGTAAAAGAGATATAGTACAGGTAGTTCTCAAGTTACAAAAGTTTGCTAAGTAACTGTTCAAAGTTACAACAGCCTGAAAAAGTGACTTGTGATAGTTTTTAACACTTATGACTGTTGTAGCATCTCTAGGCTGCATTTGAAGCAAGATGTGAAGGATTGTAAAAAGATTATGATGATGGACCACACAGAACTCTCAAATGTATTTGGGAACTGTTGATTTGAGCATGTGAAACTGGCTTGTTTTGTCTTATTTTCAAAACTATTCTCCAACATTTTAGATTTTCTATTAGGGCCACAGTTGCCCTCTAATAATAATGAAAGATTCAGTGATATATTTCCAAGTTTCCTGTTCCTTCACAGGTAATGCAATATATTCCAGGGTAGGTAATTATTTAATCTTTAAAGCTGGGAATTACTCATCCAAGAGAGGTATTAACCATTCAGAACCATATCCTAAAGAATGCCTTCAGCTACGTTAGCCTCCTGATCACCTATGTTCTTCAAGGAAGTATTGCTCTCTGTGCTATAATCTATAGATTGTCATTTGGCAGTGACAAAAAAGTAGCCTTCTTGCAGTGGACCTTCTCTTTTGTAGAATAGCATGTCTTCTATATAAGCAATCCCATTCTGATGTGCTTTAGCTGTCCCTTAAAATCCATATGTTAGTCTTCCTAAGCATTAACTCTCCCTAAACAGTGGTCTTTTCATGGTTGGGCTTTATTCTGTATCTTTCTGTGATTATTAGAAACAACTTTTTAAAATAAAATCTAGCCTAGGAAATCAGCAAATTAACAAAGTAAACTCAAGTAAAGTAAAATAAATCTGCCTTATAACTTGGAAGAGTGAAATCCTCAGGGAATAATTGCTCAGTTTTAAAACCAGTTTTAGGTTCTTTATCTTAAGGGCAGGAGCAAAAAAGTCATCTCAAAAAAATAATGTAGAATAAATTCACATTATGACTATACCACTGGCAGATTCAGCTTGCTATGCATCCTAATACATGGTTGAGCTCGATTTCCAATATTAGTGATATTAGTGATAATCACCTGGAAGTATAAAAGTTAAAACTGGAGCAACCATAAAGAAGAAAAAGTATCTCTTTTTTGTCTGCAGCAACTGCTTCCTCAATATCTTAGTACTATGCCAAAATCCTGCTCTTATTTTTGCAGAGAGAGAGAGATGATTAGATAGGTAGGTAGGTAGGTAGGTAGGTAGGTAGGTAGGTAGGTAGGTAGGTAGGTAGATAGATAGATAGATAGATAGATGATAGATAGATAGATAGATAGATAGATAGATAGATAGATAGACAGACAGACAGACAGACAGACAGACAGACAGACAGACGAATTTCGATTATCTTGGCAAGTTGCCAAGAGAACTTTAAATATTTGTACTTTTATTACTGTTTCATTAACAATTAAACTATATTGTCTGCATTATATAGAACACAGAGTTTCCATGCGCTGTCTGATCATACTGCTTCTTTGCATTATGCCAGATTGTGCTGTATGGTGATCGGATTATTCCGAGAAAGATTGCAAGAAAAGAAATTTGGAGATAAATCCCAGAATCATTATGAGAAACTTATTCAGTTCGCTATCTTCCACAAAACTCTTCAAATAGCATCAGAATGATATATTTAAAGGGTGAAACGATTGCTTCTCAAAAAGCAGATGCTAAAGTTTCATTGAGGTCACATTGTGTTAAAATGTGTATTAGCTGGATTTTGTACTGCAATTGATTCCTATAAAATTTTCAAAAATCTAATTACCAAACCACATTTGGGAATGGAAAATAATATGGATAGAGTTTAGTAATTTTTACAATCAGGCATGAAGTTGAAGAAGTTTGTACTATCATTTCTGTAATATAGTGGCTGGTTGCTTTTCTTTGTTTGAATTTTTGGTGAATTTTCAAACAAGATGAAGACATTTGAGCAATTGATGACATCAGTCCGAAGTTTGCATTACATATTGGTACTTTTCCTGGTCACCATAATGGAAATTACATTCTACAATAGATTTTAAAATATAAATTGGTATTTCTTTTGCTAAAATTAAATTGATACATCTTATGAGCCTTTAAAGAACTATATACAGTTTATGTTTTCACATAAAATTTTCTTCAGGAGTAGTATTTGTTTTAAACTATAAAAATGTTTGGTTTTAAACAGAAAAAGACATATTTAAAAATCTATTACTAGAAATTAAAATTTGGTATGCTTAGGATTTAACAGTTTCTTGGCTCAGATTAAATTACAGGTAGGCTGTGGGTTACTCGCATTCATTTGGTGAACTGAACAACTGATATTTACAGCTGCTCCTCAGAGTTCTGATGATCACAGTGGCCAGATTTCCAACTTTTTGTACCAAGAGTCAGAGGAAAAACTGTTAGGAAGTCAGAAGTCATAGTCACATGCAGTCCTCAACATTAAGCATGGCCCTTGCTTAACAGTAGCCACTAGGACTTCTGGAACTGCTTTTGGCTAAGCAACATAATCATTTATAATTGTATCACTTAGGGACAGCAATTACAGTCCCAATTGCTGTAGTAAGCTGAGAACTACCTGTAAAAACTATGGTTTACTGTAGGTTTATTTTGGGTTTTTTTAAAAAAAAACCAATGATGGATAATGTGTGTGTGAGTCTATGTGTATATACAAATACACACACACATACATATGCAGAAACTTTTTAAAATAGATATATGAATGTCCAAATATTATGTATGAGACACATGCTGTTTGGTTGTAGTTCTTAAAATACTGAAATTGCAAAATGATGATCTTGTCCATTAAAATTTGTGATGTACCTTGGAATTATCCATAATTTATCTCGGAATATCAATTACATTAAACAAGTAAAATGTCAGAGGGAAAAAAGTGCAATATCCCTAAAGCTGGGCCAGCTGGAATGAGCAAATCCCCATGGCTTTTCTAGAAACCAATAAGTAGCAATCATTTAAATTTCTGAGGGAATGCAGGAAGAGTTGAGAAGAGTCACCAAAAAGTCCAGGGTCTTTTTGGATGACATTCTCCCTGAGAGCAATAGAGAGTCTCTTTCCCAGATATTATTGGACAGGCAGATAAAACTGGGAATGGCAATCCCACTTTGCTATAAATATTTGAACAATAACAAAAAAATGGCCCAACATGTTTGCAATATCACAATTTAAATGTTATTTAAAATACAGCATTTATGAAAGATAAAACTGTTATCTACATTAAAACAGAAGATGTCAGTTAAGATTTACCAATTACTGTATTTTTTAATCCAAAACCACAATTTTCTGTATAAGTACCATGTTTCTCTGAAAACACGACTCACCCCAATAATAAGCCCAACCCTAATTTTTGGGGAATGGGCCTAATATTATCCCTACCCCAAAAATAAGCCCGGAGGGATGGGCGTGGCCAGCACAAGTGGCAGCATGGGCATGTGGGGGGCAACCCTTGGGGCAGCGCAAAATACCACTTTTGCCCTTCTCTTTCTGGGAGCAGCGCTTCTGCTTGTTGGGCTGCTTCCCCAAAACTGGCAGCTCAGTGGCCAGCTGCTTTGCTTTTTCCCTCTTTTTGGGAGGCTTATGGGAGGCTTTTTGGCGAACAGGAGGAAAATGGCAAGGGGGATTTTCCTGCCTGTCATCCATTCCTCAACCTCAGCACAGACTGAGGGAAGGATGGCAGGCAGGAAAATTCCCCTCTAGATTTTCCTCTCATTCGCCAAAAAGCCTCCATTTTGAACGCTGAATGTTCAGAATGGAGGCAATGGTGCATCCATGGCGCATCCAGCTCACCGAGTCTGGCCTGCTGCACCTCAAAAAAAGTAAGTGGCCTCGAAAATAAGTCCAAGTGCTTATTCTCAAGTCTAAAAGAAAATAAGACTCAGTCTTATTTTCTGAGAAAGACGGTAGTTGCAGTTGATTCAAACTTTTAAAGTATAAAAACTACATTTATAAAATCACAAGTAGGGTATATGCTATTATTTTCTAGCATTCGATTCTCTGCTTTTTGTCTATGTGATGAAAGAAATAAGAATTTTGCATCTAAATATTTCAAAAAGACTGAAAAATAAGATTAAATCTATGTTTGACTTTTTCTTCCCCAGGAAGACATGGATCACAATTATTACACTTCAAGGACATATGGTCCATTTGATTCTTCCAGCCGAGATTTGTGGGTAAACATTGATAAAATGGAAAAAGATAAGGTGAAGATTCATGGAATACTCTCCAATACCCACCGACAAGCCGCAGTAAGACATTTGATATATATTCTAATTTAATTCTTTTCTCTAATACTTGAATTACCTTTATGCTACATGTCATTCATGTTATGTCATAACATAGCATAGCATGTAATCAGAAATATTAATCTATAACTCAAATCTGGAATTCCTTATCTGATTTTTGCCTTTTTTAAAAAAAAAGAAATGGTCTCATTTTTTATATACCTGTAGGAAAACATTTCATTAAGTTTTTTTTTAATCAGATGAACCTTTGAATTTCTTTTAAAAAAACTGCAGAAAAATTATAAAATGTTTTAAAAGCAAGAAATAGTTTCAGTGACATTTAAGTCAGCGGTTGCTTTGCCCTTGCATTTGTTTGACAGATGAATTATAGTCCAAATTGACTAGTTTAACTGCCATATTTAGAATTAGAAAGAAATACCCTGTGTTTATCCTTTACATTTATATGAGCTGAATTTCTGAGCGCTATTAAATCCTTGTCAAAATATTATTGTTTTGAGTTGTTGATACTTGTCAAATGAGAAAGAGGAGACAGATGTAATTTTATTTCCATATCAAAAATATGTCTTGGCTAATTCTGATCCCACACAAAATTCTTGTGTGGGGAAATTAACTAAGCTTCTGATTTACATATATAATTCAATGCCCCAGTACTGCCAAAGAGAATTCCTATCATTTTTCAATGTACTGAAAGCCACCAGAAAAATGAAGATTAGTCCTAAAGGAATCTAAATTCAGTAGCAGAAATGACAGTTCAATTGATGTGACTGAATTGATTCAAGCTCTCTCATTTGAGAAGCTTGGACGTTTTTGAGAAGTCAGATCATTTGAAGGGATTCTTCACTAATAGTAAATATTCAGAAAATATAAGAAGTTGAAAGAAAGGAGGATGACTAAAGATTTCAGATTTCACTTAGACTTCTGCCCTTGGTTAGGTTAAAACATTTTCCAAGGTTGGTAAACTCGGCAACCACATATCATGCTGACAGAAGTAGTAGAAAAGACTCTAGAATCTGGAAAGAGAGAGATAATTAATAATTAATTCTCCAGATTTAGAAAATATAATTTATAAAAATTACTTTTCTCAGACAATAAAAATAGTTATAAAGGGATTGAGAATGTGAAATAAAAGGTCCCAGATAAAAGAATAAATCTGATATAGCACAAAAGATTTTGTGAGATGTTTGGATATGATGGATTATATGGTAAGAGAAAGTCAACAGTTTCACAGAAAGAATCTTACTGGCATGATCCTTTGGCTAAGATAAGCTTACTTAAACTCATTTGGAATGTCAATTGGAACAAAGAAATTATGTGTTTCTGTAGTTGCTATTTTCTTTGTTAAAAAAAATAAAGCTATCAAAACTCCTGATATTAAACTATTAAATTCAATTCAAATACGCCAAACAGAACAGATTAGTTGCAAGTTTTCAGCTACAAACCTTTCTTTTAATGATGATTAAGGAAACTTAAAGAGATTTTTTTAAAAAAATACATACATTGAAAGTGCATGGTGAAAGTGATCATATAGCATCCAAAAACCCGGGCATTTTTGCCTACTGTAGTAATAAAGGCAGCAGGCTAGAAACTGGGATACCATGAATTCAGTCCTACATTGTGCTCGAAGCCAGCTGGACAGGGGTGCTAATCAGCAGGTTCTGACAGGTTCTGGAGAACCAGTAGCGGAAATTTTGAGTAGTTCAGAAAACTCAAATATCACCTCTGGCTGGCCCCAAAGTGGGGTGGGGATGGAGATTTTGCAATATCCTTCCCCTGGAGTGGGGTGGGAATGGAGATTTTGCGGTATCCTTCCCCTGCCACGCCCACAGAACCCACAGTAGTAAAAAAATTTGAATTCCATCACTGCAGCTGGGTATTTATCGGCCACTCTCTTTTAACCCAACTTACTTCACTGGTTGTGGTGGGGGGAGGGGAAGATGAGTCCTCATTTTACCGACCTCGAGAAGATGGAAGACTGAGTCAATCTTGAGCCAGTGAGACTCGAACTGCTGAACTGCTGGCAGTCAGTACTTTAAATTCTTTGCATATGAACCATATTTGAAAGTAGCTGCAGAAACTTCAAGATTAAAATGAGAATTCGTTATAGAGGAAGCCAATAGATATGAGGATGATAACTTGCTTCTTATTGAGCCAATTCAATCAAAATTTTCATAAGAATGATCATGTACAAAAAAAAATTTTTTTTTAAGTGGAATTCTGAAATGACTATTTAGTCTCAAATTATTAATCACAAAAACAAATACCTGGGTGCAAGTCTTGCTTTTTAGAAATAAACTTGTTTTGGGTAAAATATTTCAATACAGGAGAACATCCAATATCACTTTACCATTTTAAAAGTTAGAAAGCACAAACAGCCTTGGTAGTACAGTGGATTAATGCACCCTGTTATTAACACAGCTGCCTGCAATTTCTGCAGGTTCGAATCTTACCAGGCTCAAGGTTGACTCAGCCTTCCATCCTTTCTAAGGTAGGTTAAATGAGGACCCAGTTTGTGGAGGCAATAAGCTGACTTTGTATAAATATACAAAAGTATGAAGGCTATTGCTTAACGCATTGTAAGCCGCCCTGAGTCTCCGGAGAAGGCGGCATATAAATCAAATTTAAAAAAACAAAACAAAACATGAATTTCTCTGCTTTTTATTGATATTTTCCGTCTACGAACTACTAAAAGGGAGATTAGTAATCTGCTGTAATAAATGGTTGTCTTTTTTTGGCCAAAACAATTAGTTCTATGTATTTTAGTTTAAAGGATCTTTTAGCTAACCATTATAGAATAATAGTTTTATAATAACTTTACCCTTTACCGGACCCAAATTAATGTGACTGTTTCTCAGAAGTGACTCTGCAGTCAAGTAGATATTTAATATGTTTAACCTTGGCAATTTGTTTCATATGGAAGGATCTCATATATCAAATTCATTCAAACTTTTTTTTTAAAAGAAATCCAGAATACCAATTACAGTTAAATCTAGATTATAACCTTTTTCTCTCAAAGAGCAAGGGAAAAATGTGGCTTTTGCTTGGACTTGACATCACTTCACTGTTTTATGCTTTATTCCAGTTTCTCAAAGATATTAAATTTGGAAGAAGTAGGAAGGAGGCAAATAAAAGAACTGTCAGAGTGTTAAAATTTCTAACAGTTACCTTGTCAGAACTTGCCTGTTTTCTTTGTCCTTGTTAAAGAGATGCATCTTGACATTATGCAGTAAAGTGTAATGTTATATCATGCTAAAATTAGTGGAGAAAATGCAAAACTGCTCCCTAAGGAAAAGAACCAATACAAAATTACTTACAAAATTGTTTTTTTTAAATTTATTTATTTAGTGTGTGGCATACAGCACATGGATAACGGTAATAAAATTATAAAAAGGAGCACATAATACAATGGTACACATAAGATGGAAATACTATATGTAGTCAATTCTATAAGGTTTGAGGAATTCAAAAATTATATATATATATGTTTTTCTTCTAGCCAGGTTTTCCCTACGTAGCCAAGATTTTTTTGTAGCTACAAAAAAACCTTGGCTACGTAGAGAAAACCTGGCTAGAAGAAAAACACACATAAACCCTACGAAGAAGTAAGAAATATATATATATAGTATGTATGTATAAGTTATAGATTACATTTTAAAATAAGTTGATTCATAATACTAGGTGTCCTATATATTTATAGCACAATATAATTGAACACAATATTTGTTTAGTTGAAGAAAGTCTGTTTTTCTTACTGTGTAAACTGTCAAATGGAAGCTAGTGATTATGTGATCCAGTGTCTGACAATCACATAAAAAGGAAATAATGCATAATAGAGTACTGGTAGTCTTCAATTTGGAACCACAATTGGGATCAGAATTTCTGTTGCTAAGGAAGGCAGTAGTTAAATGAGTCACCTCTGATTTTATGATCTTTTTGGCATGTTGTTAAGCAACTGTTAAGTGAATCATAGTCATTAAGCAAATACAACTTCCCTCATTGACTTTGCTTCCCAGAAGTTCACCAATGGCTGCCATATGACCTCCTGGCGCTGTAAGCACCATAAATACATGTTGATTGCCAAGTGTCTGAATTTTGAACATGTAACCAGGAGATGAGAAATGGTCATAAATGTGAGAAGCAGTCATAAATCAGTTTTTTCAGTGTCATTGTAACTTCAAATGGTTGTTAAACAAATGGTTTTGATTTGAAGACTATCTGCATGCATTATTTTTAATATCAGAATTGGAATGGGTTTCTCTGCATTTGTGAAAGAAGAATGAATAATAAAGAAAGTAAAGTAGAGCTTAACTTCAGTTTGTTGGTATCAGTATAACATACTTTCATGGACCAGATTTCTGCAGCAATGAATAGATCATCCACCTTCAAATCACTGTCAATTTCCAGATTGGCGTAATGCAATTGATGTGTATTGCTGCAATCATCTGATTTGATGGATCAGCAGTCTCTGATTTAATGGACAATCAGGAAAAAGGAATTCCCTTCTCTCCTATATTGGTCCATTAAATGGAGAATAAAATAATAAAAATAAAGAATAAAAAAGAATAAAGTTCTTAAATATGTTCGTGTTTGCTTTAGAGAGCAAGATTTGACATGTTGCTCAATAGCTGAAGCTGTTCTTAGGCTGAAAAAATAGTACACCCATGAATTAAAGATACCAAGGAGGAGGTTGCTTTTCTTGGAGTAGCATAGAAAATCACTTTCGATGGAACAAACTCTGTTAGCTGCAAGATGTAAAAAAAAAATGAGCAGACCAAATTAAGGAAATGATTGTTTAAATATGTGATTCTAAAGAACAAAGGAAGAGCTATGTCTTTTTATGTAAAAGGGTTCACTGTTCATTAAGGCCTGAAAAGAACAGGAAGAAGTTGAGACAAGGAAATATCATACCAGTATTTCAATTTAAATTATTTCAATCTGCTCTCTTTTTTAAGACATCAGATTTGATTTAAAGTTTCTGGACTGTATTAAATCCCATTATGTTCTAATCTAGCAATTTTAGCTTAATTTGTGTTATCAACTTTTGAAACAAACCAGTATCATACAGACACCATGGTCTTAAATATAAGCCAAGGTCCTGGCACCAAAGTCAGCTAGTGACAAGAAGAATGGAGAAGAAATTGAGAATTATTCCGTATAGATACTCATTCCTGATTTATAACATCCACTGTCCATTTGCATAATTGAAGTTACCAGCTGTTTGGATTTATTCACGTTTTCATGGGAAGACACAGTTGCTCAAAAAACTAAGATTACTTGGAAAAAGTTTAACAATAAAGAATGGTTAGCTATGAAACCAATAAATATATTTGGTCTCTTGTAACTGAGGCCATGCTATGATTTAAGGCAGAGAAGGAAAGTTTTTAATGGCCAACAACTTCCTATTTCTTTTAGCAACCACACAAGGAAGTGATTTAAGGAAATCACCTGAGAGAACTAGGTAGGAATTTTAAGCCCATATTTATTTCTTGCCTTTTTTAGAGAGAAATAGGAAGTATTAATTAGTGAGTTAAGTACATTAGAAACATAATTATTAATTTATCACCCAAAGTAAGTGGAAAACATAATTGCTCATAACTGGAGCTCTAGGTTATGTTTGATCCAAGGCTACTAGGGTCTAAAATTTATATCAATTATAAATTATAATGAGATAGGTGCATATACATACAATCTGTGAATTTTTGCATAGAACCAATGCCATCAAAGGGAGTGAAATTTATTTTGTGCAAACATATTTAAAAAAGAAAGCATCAACTATCGTTAAGGAAAAAGAGGATTTTCAAATAAGAGGCTCATTGTGTTTAGTGTCCAACAGTACAAAGGAAAAGAATTTAAAGCTTTTGCAGGAGAGATAGATTATATGAGACAGTGTAAAGATCAAAAAAGCATCAAGATTATGAGCTCTAAAGGAAGAGTCTGGAATTTGCAATAAAAGAGTAAATGTGTAAAGGATAAGGAAGAAAATGTTGAGAGGAAAATAGAAAGGATATCCTTGGCTTTATTTTCATTAAGTAATAAGAAAACATTTGTGGATATACTTGGAGAATATTGGAAGGTAAATAAAGAAGTGATTTATTTTTTTTTTGGCTAAAGCATCAGCTTGAAACTAAGGTAAGTTTTTAAATTTTGAATAGGCACTGGAAAGTAAATATGTATATATCAAGAATACTTTACAGAGGATTACTTAATGTAAATTAGAGTGTAATCTTAAATACACTGGTCCTCAGAATCAACTGCCATGAATTCAATGAGAATATGTCTGGGCAAATATAATTTTCACTACTCTAGAAATTAGAAAATATGGTCTTGGTTTAATCAAACAGAGAAAAATCACAGCTGTGAGCACTAGCTTAGTTTTTTCTTTTCATGTTTAACCAATGACATATTTTTTTGCCTACTTTTTTGGATTATATGTAACCCAGTTCATAATCATTCAAGGTTATTTTTTCAGATTGAATGGAATCTTCCTAAACTAATTTCAACTTGTTGGAGATATTTGCAGCTGTCATATGAGAGAAGAACAGACAATAGCCAGGGTCTTTGGGATCAAAATGCTGTTTTCTTGGATTTGATTTATTGTAATTTTTAAGGTCAGCTATGGTGAACCACAGTGTGTTAATATAGTATAAGCAACCATTATTTCTAGAAAATATGGGTTTATTTTAAACTATTGCCCAATTTACTTTGATTCAAATGAGGATAAATCTGCTCTGCCAGTTCACTGCCAGGCACTTTCAGGAAAGAAAGAATTATGGAATTCAACCATAGTTCCCTGTATTGTATTTCTGCCCAACCAAAGTTAGAATGACTGCTTCCCAGCTTCTTATGCAATGAAGACTTGAAACTTCTTAAAGTCTTCCTCAGTGCCTCCCCAAGGGAATGTAATATTATTTGCTTATGACTGTTTATACCAGTGTATAAGATAAGTATTCTTATAGCTTTGTTAGGTTTCAAAAAGATACAAAGTTAAGCAATAAAGAAACAGAAAAGGGAAAAAGTATTAGAAGGGGATAAAAGTAAAAATGCAGGAAAAAAATAAGAAAAATAGGAAAAGAATGATTTCCAATTTTCTTTGATAGAGATATAAGAATACATCAAACTCTTACATTAAGGATAATATTTGTCTTCATTATTTTGAAAATCCCATATAATTCTAATCATCAAATCCACAAACCACTTACTTATTTTTTTCAGTTTTTGCAAAAAGGCCAATAATGGTTTCCAAGTAGAAATAAAATTTGCCAGTCTTTTCTTTTTGTAAGTCCTTCTACCTTTGAACCTGTAGATGTCTCGTGTGTGTGTGTGTGTGTGTGTGTGTGTGTGTGTGTGTGTGTGTCAGAGAGAGGGGGGAGAGAGAGGGACAGAATATGAGAGAGAGAGAAAATTGTTGGCTTCAAAATATATTTTAAAATTGGGTTTGACTCATCGTGCATTTTAAATGATGACATAAATGTCCCACCTTTCGCTGAATGAATTTCTATTACAGCCTTTATCTGTAGAGTTCCATTATTTTTTGTAGATTCTATTTCGTCATTTACCTTGCCTTGAAGCACGGATATATACAGATGTTATTAATATCACATCAGAAAATATTTTTATGTAAAATCTTGAATTTTACACATCCCTTTTTGTTTAGGATGATATATTTATAAAATAGAGTTTTTGCTCTTGATTGTAAACAGATATTGATAAAGATTTCTGGTTTACTATGAAGAAAGATTTATCTAATCTTAAAATCTTAAAGATTAGAGTACAAAGTACAATTGATACCAGATTAAGTATTTTATCTAGAGAATTTTTCAAAAGTGAATGGGTATAACTTTAAATGAGGATTATGTAAACATTTAAAGTGACCATTTTAAAGAGCTTAAGATCAGTGACTGCATGGCAGAACATCTTTCCAGAATCCAATCCAAAACTCTGTGCAACCGAAGTTTCTTGGGCTTTACATAGTAAGAATCTCATCCTGTAATCTCATGTTGGACTATGTGACTAACTCGACCTTGACATTTAGCAGGGCACTGATGGTGATAAATTGTAGAGTTTTGAAGATATGCTTTTCTTATTATCTGTCCCATCTTAAATAGTAAAACAGATCTCTTCTCCTTTGCACAATTCTGCCATAACTATCAGTGACACTCAGGACACAACTATCTCTTCCTAATGAAATTTATTTGATTTCATATATCCTCCATAGCTAACAACAATACATTGACTAACTCACAATATGACTGGGGCTATGCAGCATAAAACATAAACTTGTCCTATAAATACAGTGGCTATGTTCATATATTGCTGTTAGCCAAATCCAAGGAAATGAATTGATGATTTATCTAAGTATGTGGATCCAAACAATATAATATGGGTTGCATTGGCTGGATTCATATAGCTAAATCATTGGACTAGATCTGATTCAATTCCATTCTTACCTATGGAAACTCACTGTGTGGCTTTAGACAGAATTCTGTCTTAATCAAGTTTATGACATAGGGTTGTTGTTGATGAAAAAAGATTCTCAAGTAAATTTCCCTGAACTCCTAGAGCACAGGTGTCAAAAGTCGTGGCATCACGTTGCCGTCATGTGATGTTTTGTGACGTTTTTTCTCTTTGTGGAGCTGGGGTGGGCATGGTCTGTGCATGATGCATCTGGCCCGGGGGCCACCAGTTTGACACCTCTGTACCTAGAGGAAAGATTAAAATAAAATTAACTAAAATAAAATTAGTTCAGGGAAATATAAGCAACAGAGAATTGCAAATTCAGTCCTGGCCTATCTACTTTGTAGGGATAGCATCAAATGTACCTGGATGATAGACTCAGTTTTCATAACACTTTTAAACTTTTTTCTTTTTATGAAGCTTCCCAATCTGTCGTGCTTCCAGTAGTTTAGATGAGACCTTCAGCAATCCCAAAACAGCATGGCCATTCTGCTTGAGAATTATAGGATTTAAAAAAATCTGTTTTATATATTGCTAACTCTTTTTAATCAGTTTTAATACTAAAAAATAACCCAAATGAGGAAGACTAATGCAAAAAAGGCTAAAGATGGAAGCAGCTTTGGAGAGCTGGATCATGTTCTGAAGTGACTGATTCTTTGCTCTAATTTCCTTTATTAATTTTATCTTCTGGTGTTGTTCCTTGCAGAGAGTGAATCTGTCCTTCGATTTTCCATTTTATGGCCATTTCCTACGTGAAATTACTGTTGCAACTGGGGGTAAGTGGCTTCCTTAGAGTTCACTTTGAATAATCTTACAAAAATCTAACATTTCAAATCAAATAGATTTTTTTTCATATTTTAAGAAATGTGAGAGTTCATTCAAATTCAGTCTATCTTTTATGCAAACATCTCTCTCACACACACACACGCACACACTCATACAATCTGATCATTTTTTTTTTCTTTGCCTGAATAGTCAAATATGTCCTTGGAAAGAGAAGGTGTTTTTTTATTAGTAGTAGTAGGGCTCCAAAAAAATACAATGCTTTGTCTTGCACGGAGGCATTTCCCTTGTCTCTTTCTGCAATGCTTTGAAGCCGTTACATGTTTTCCAAGGATTGCAGGACAACTAAAGCACATACCTGGGGAAGAATATGCTTGAAAAAGTCACATTTCCTCATAGATGATTGAGGTGACACCATGTAAGAATAATCTTGAGAGATAGGGGGGGAAAGCTGCAACTTACACAATGGTCTCATGAATTAAATCTGAATCCAAAGCAGGTATGGGATGGAGAAAGTATCTCAGAATTTCAGAGAACTCATTTCAGAGAATTCCCTAGTTCTCTGAAATGCAAAGGCAGGGGAGGAGGCAAACGCTTTTGGATTTGCAAGGTTCTGTTATTGTAACTGTACAATGAAATTAGTATTAATGTTCTTGGATGCATTTCCTGGTTTGGATTACTTTGAAGAGCTGACATATCAATAATGAATATAGCTGTACCCTATTTTTATCTCATTCTTTGCCAAATTCTCACTATTCAATGGGATTGCTACTAGAATAAGATTTCTATAGCTTGAAGTTGCCTGATTCTGAACATTAAAAAAAAAAAAAAAGATTAACTTAATACAGCTTAGTTCTGATTTCATCCGCTCTGTATTTCTCTGTTCATTACTGGCTATAAAAAAAATTTTTACTAGCTATAAAAAAATTATTTGACCCTCAATTAATGAAAAAGGAGAGAGGGGGGGAAAGAGCCAACACTAATTGCTGGCTCATTTGGGCAATTAGTGTATCCTTGTCCTCAATTCTTATTTTGTCAAGGTTATTTGACTCCCATGTCTGACGAAAATCAGTGTGTACTGTCATTATTGATGTAATTAATTGTTCTAGAGGTAGATATATCACATGGGATTCCTACAAATGCTAATTCTGGAAAATAGGAAACTACTAAAGGCCTAAAAGTTTTCTAATAATAAAAAAGGCTATCTAACATAAAATTTCAGATACTGACTTCGGGAAGAAATAAGCACCAAGGTTTCTTAGTTTTAACATCCATGCTGAGGGGTTTGAAGTGTACACGTATGTTATTTTGGCTGAAGATTCTCCTGAGCTTTTCCAATATGCCTGCAACATACATCTCAAAAAAGACCCTACAGGAGCTCCTCTGTAATAGACAATGATGAGAACAATAAATGAAGCAATGTTGTCATTCCATATGTTGCAGGCATATTGGAAAAGCTGAGGAGAATCTTCAGCCAACACAACATATGTGCACACTTCAAACCCAAAAATACACTGAAGCAGAAGCTTGTCCAGCCCAAGGATGATCAGAAACTAAACAACATGGTATGTGTAGTACAATGCAATGAGCCATGTGCAGATCTATATATTGGGTAAACAAAACAACCAGTTCATAAACATATGGAGAACAAACATTCAGCAGTCTATCTGCATTTAAAAGATACAGGCCACTCTTTTGAAGAGAACAAAATCCATATTTTGCACAGAGAGGATCGCTGGTTTGAAAGAGGGTTAAAGAGGCCGTCTATGTCAAAATTGAATAACCCTCTCTCAACAGAGGGGGAGGGATATGACATCTATCTCCAATCTACAACAAAGTCCAAGAAGGCTCCACACCAATTTGCACAACTCAGGTGTCCCTGATGACATAGAAAAAACTCCAGATGACCTTAATGACCCACTAAAAGAATGCAAATGACTAGCTGTCTTCAAGAAGTATAAATCCTTCCATTTTCCACCATCCAGTCAGAGCTGAAGAAGCTTCTTGGATGAGAAGCGATACAAAGAAAATCCAGAAAATCCATTTGCCTCTTCAAAAAAGCAACTTTGGGACAACCATGACCTGGATGACTGAGAATCTCCATAGATATTCAGCTCAGTAATCTTACCTGCATAGACTTGTTCAGATCTTGTTCCGATCTTTAAAAAAAAGGGGGGGGCTGCCATATATTTATTAATTTCAAACTTAGAGTATGCACATTAGTCCAAATATAGTCCATTTTGTAACAGTAAAAGCAAAGAAGAATTATTACATTTTTGTTTTTATGTAATTACCAATAAAATTCACACATTGCATTTATTTTTCCTAAAATGGACTGGTCTGCATAAAATATCCTCTAATCGACACATAGTACATAACTGCTTCAAATAAACATATTTTATAGATTTTGTATTGTTTTGAATTGGCAACACTATTCCATGAGCATCCATTTTTATAGTGATAGAATCTGCTAAGACATGTGAGAACACTTTTCATGAAAAGACATCTCTGATTAATTTCTTTTGCATCCTTATCTTCTGTATTCCAATGTATTCTGGCTGATAACATGTTCCAAAAGCCTATCAGTGAGATAGTGTGAAAAAAGGGCTGCTTCCCTCTATTGGTTTTGTTTAAAAGACAAGGACAAACAGTGTATTCCAGTAATGCAAGTCAATAGAGCCATCTATTTTTTTTTCTTGGTCCTAGACTATGAGGGTCTTCAGCCAGAAAACTGTGTGAGTTAAGCTGAAATTTTTTAAGCTAATGTTCCACTTTGATAAAAGACCATGCAAAGCATAGATTTGAAGTTGCTTTTTGGAGCCATTCAGGCCCCACCGTGGCCTCCATAGTTACTTTGGCAATAGCCAAATATGCTTTGACATATACCAGTACCTGCCAAATAACTCTCACAAGTGCCAGACAAGGCGAAGAGAGGATGCAGATCATCTCATCCGAGCAAAGTTGTCTCTTACTTTTTTCCAATATAATACCCCTCATCTGAACTACTTCATGCATAACCTCATATGTGGCATTAAAATTTGCCCATTGGATTTTGTTGGAAATTAAAACTCTTCCACTGCTTTGAGAAGGCCCTTGTGATGGTAATATTATTAGGATTTTATTTTTATTTTTTTGTATAGAGGAAAAAAATTATAAGTGGCTAAAATTTAGCAACATTGTCTCCTGGAAACTATAAATAATGTCATATGAAGACTGTTTTATATATCTATTCTTACATGAATTTAATAATAATAATAATATAATAATAATAATAATAATAAATAATAATAATAATAATAATAATAATAATAATAATAATAATAATAATTTTATTTCTATACCGCCCTTCTCCCGAAGAACTCAGGGCGGTGTACAACCTATTAAAAGCACAAAGACAAACAACAATTAAAATTATTTAAAATTATTAAATAATTTCAGCTTAATATTAAAACCCCAAAAAATTTAAAACATCCAATTTAAAATCATTACATTGATAGCCCGGCCTGGCGGAACAGCAGGGTCTTAAGGGCACAGCGAAATACCCTGAGGTCGGAGATCTTATGCATTTCCGGGGGTAGTTCATTCCCCAGGGCTGGGGCTCCCACAGAGAAGGCCCGCCCCCTGAGTGTCGCCAGCCGACATAACTTGGCCAATGGCACCCTGAGGAACCCTCTCTGTGGGAGCGAACTGGCCAGTGGGAGGCTACTGGTGGCAGAAGTCGGTCTCAAAGGTACCCGGGTCCTATGCCATGGACCAATTGAACATAATTGTTCAATTGCAGCTCCAACTGGGAACTTCTCATAATTATAACCAACATGCTGTGTTGATAGTGCTCTTTGAGGGTTTTTTTAAATCTGATTATATCTATGAAATACTAAGAACTATTATCGTATGAAACATGGTTTTAAAATCATAATTCTTTTAAAACAATATTAATTCCAATTATTTAAATAAGTATATATTGACTACTATTCATATTCCAATCCAGTCAGTCATTGTTCTGATAAAACAAATGATAGTTTATATCATTTTATAAAATCACAAATGAAATTACTACATTTCATGTAGTAATCATTGTAGGATAAAAAATTAATTTAGGAGGTATGGTTTTTTGACACTTATATAGGATAAATTAGTAAAAAGAATTCACAGTGTAACTTCAGAAAAGAGGTAAATTTACAAATGTACTTATAACTTCTGTAAAGCAGTTTGGAAGCAGCTTCTTTACATCTTGTTTCTTTCGTTTCTACTTTTCTACTTATTTTTTTTCTTTTTGTTCTTTTGGCACTTTAGCTTCCTCTTTTATTTCTTTTCTCTTTCTTATTCTGTTTTAATTTGTATTAAGTTTTACTCTTGATTTTTTAAACTTTCAATAAAATTTTAAAAAAGGAATCATTGTAGAATGATTTATTGTAGATCCCCAAAAAGTCTAATATTATCTTTACCTTCAAAATGTTTCTGCAGATATTCAGCTTAAATTTATTGTTCTATAATTTAAGGCCACTACATCTAAGCTCTACTTCCAAGGTGAACGTCTGTGACTATAAGATCTTTCCTATCTACAGTTGTTCTATACTAAATTTGGAGTTTCCATCATTTCAACCAATTTCTCATAAGGTGTTTTAGCCTGTAAATTATGTCCCTTGTCTTCCTTTCAATCTATTCCACTGTCTATTTCTATCTAAAACTGCTGTCTCAGATCTTCATATAATCTCTGTTCAAATAAAAGTCTAAAGTAAGGAGATTCACTGAAATCCCTTGATTTATGAGAAAACACAGAAACAGGCTCCCCAGGCAAATGCCTTCTGACTAAAATAAAAAATAAAATAAAATGCTGCATAATATCAGGAGGAATTACATGCAGAATTTCCCTGTATTACAAGATGAGCACTAACATATTAAGTAGTGGTTGCCATTAGTCCAACCAATATCCTTCTCATCCTTCTAAAATAGCTCTTAAATAATACTATCCGTCTTGATGGCTGATAAATAT